CGGGGGACTCCTCACACACGGGGGTCTCCTCACACTCAGGGGACTCCTCACACTCAGGGAGCTCCTCACACACGGGGGGCTCCTCACACACGGGGGTCTCCTCACACTCAGGGGGCTCCTCACACTCGGGGGGCTCCTCACACTCGGGGGTCTCCTCACACTCAGGGGACTCCTCACACGTGGGGGTCTCCTCACACTCAGGGGGCTCCTCAGAAGGCTCCTTGCACTCGAGGGGCTCCTCACACAAGGGGAGCTCCTCGCTGGCCTTGTCCATATCCTGTCCATGGCCTGGATCTGCATGGCCACAGCCCTCCTCACCATCCTCTTCCACTTCCGTGGTGTCCCCAGGCAGCCCAGGCCCTTCGCGTGGGTCCTCATGGGTCCAGGGGGCCTCGTGCTGGCCGTCCTCCAGGTCACACAGGCCGAGTCTTCCCCCTGGTTCCTCCTCTTCCTCGCCCGTGGGCAGCAACACCCCTATCCCCGAGCCATAGCTGCCATCCTCCTCCTCCGCTGCCTCGTCTCCAGGGCCTTCCTCTCCCTCTCCAGCTGGGGGTGTCAGGTCCTGGGTTCCCCCGGTGTCCTCGGCGCCTCCGTCCACACATGCTTCCTCCCTCAAGCTGCCCGTGTCCTTGGCCGCATCATCTCCGGGTGCAGCCTGGGGGCCCGTGACGATGTCTTCCTCTGTCTCTGACCCAGAGCACTCGGGGTTCAGGGAACCCATGGCCCATAGCAGCTGGCCATTGCTGCACTTGGAGAGCCGGTGGTTCATGTGTGCCCCAGGCCTGCACCCTGCCAGGCCCGCCAGCCTGGGCTTGGGTGCCAGGGGTGGCTTGGGGCCCCGGAACATAGGGCTGGGGCTGTGCGGACCCTCAGCCCTGGGAGAGGCAGGGAACTTGGGGGCAGTTGTCTTCGGCTTGGGAGCAACAGGAGGCTTGGGGGAATCTGCAGGGTGAAACAGAAAAAGAGAGAGACCCAGTGAGCCGGATCTCCAGAGTCCCCGCTGCCAGTGTGGGTTGTGCTAAACCCGATGACCATCACTCACATTTTGTCCCAAGCTTAGCTTCTCCTAACTCCTAAAGCCACTCAGCAAACTGAGTGTGCAGACCTTGCTCCTGTCCCAGTTGGCTAGCGAAAACCAAGGGGTGAAACTGCTCCTCCACAGTGCCCGGTCACCATGGTCTTGGGGCCCCAAAACCACCCCTATAGCCCTCGAGAGTACAGGTCTTGGTCATTGCCTTTGCAGTGCGCCCAGTGTGGGTGGGTACACAGCCTGGCTGGTAGAGACGGCAAGGAGCCCAGTCCTGTGGGGCCACACATGGGGTCTTGGGCTTCACGGCCAGGGCTCCCTAACACACCTGCATTTATGGCATGGGCATGCAGCTGTTCTGGAGGAGGTGGGCCCAGCCAGTGCGGAGAGGCCCAAGATGTGCCTTCCCGGTGGGGCATGGACCACAGCAGAGGAGAGGAAAGGGTGCGGGTGACACATGCAGCACTGACCAGAGGCTCTGGCGGGGGGAAGGGTCTCCTGCCTCAACCTCCCAATGCTGGGATGACAGGTGAGGACTGTGCAACCCGACTCAATTTACTATCTTTAGCTTTACGCTGGTGTGAAAACACACACACCCATTCTGCTTTTCACTCTGGTGTGGAATTCTGTAAGTTACACACTATGTCCCATACTTTATTTTAGAAACAGGCTTCGTGTTAGGGGATTTTGCCTGTATACAGGCAAATATGGGTTTCCTGAGCACATTTTGGGGCTGGGCTCAGCAGGTCAGGCGTGCGGAGCGCTTTCTCGACCTGTGGTATTGCCAGCTCTCGATGGGTTTGCACAGCTCTTGTCCTTGGGGCTGAGAGGCAGCTATCATCAGCGCCCGTGCTGATTAAAGAGGCATTTCATGGCCCTCGGTTGGATGAAGTCTGGAGCCACATACGTGTTTTACATTAGCAACGCAGCCGGGCATGGTGGCGCACGCCTGTAATCCCAGCACTCGGGAGGCTGAGGCAGGGGGATTGTTGCAAGTTCGAGGCCAGCCTGGGCTACAAAGTGACCTCAAGGCCCGCCTGAACTGCATAGCGAGACCCTGTCTCCAAAAGACAAAACAGAACAAAACAAAACAAAAAACCCAAATACATGAGCAGCGCATCCCACTTGGACCAGCCCCACACTGGGGATTCCAGTGATACTGGCAGCATCACGGCCATGCCAGGTCACCTGAGCCCCACATGGCCCTCTAAAGATGCAGTGTCTGTGGATGCAAAGTGGAATGTATGCAGGGATGTGGGCAGGGCAGGAGCACAAGAGCTACAGGATGTGGCACCTGACAGCAGAGAGCGGGAGCGGTCCAGCTCTCAAGACACTGAGGTGAATCCGAGCAGATTTCTAGCCACCTGACATCTGCCTGACGGGCGCTGGCCCAGGCTGGTTGACATCCAGATGTCAGCCCAGAGTCTGCAAGGGAGTCAGGCCATCCAGCTCTGTCTCCATGCCAGTCAAGAAGAACATGTGTGCAGCATCATGAGAAAACAAATATTTGGAGTTTGAAGAAGATGCCCTCCAGCTGTTAGGCAGTGTGGAGCAGCACAGTAGGCCTTTGGGGACTTGGCCACTTATTAGAAGCTACAGACTTGAGCCTTGGTTTCCCCATCTGTAAAATGGATGCAATACGACAGTTCCCTGCCACAGCTTATTGTGAAGACAAAAGGACACATATTAAAGGTGCTAGCCAGGTGTGGTAGCACATGCCTGTGACCCCAGCACTCAGGAGGCTGAGGCAGGAGGATCACTGTGAGTTCAAGGTCAACGTGGGCTACATAGTGAGTTTAAGGCCAGTCTGAGCTACATAGTGAGATCCTGACTCAGAAAACTCAAAATAAATAAATGAATGAATTAAGGTACTGAACCAGAGATGCTCACAGAGGGCCAGCCCCTCAATGAATGAGCAGCAACCTCTGCCATCCCACAAAGCTGCCCCTGCCTGCCACTGCCCCCTGGCACATGAAAACACAACAGGCTCCGAAGCCCCGCTGTCCACACTGGGTGGGCAGCGCAGGCTGAGAGATTATTCCCGGGGCTGGGAATCCTCATCCCTCATCCTCACTGGTGGCATTTCACACGGGCGCCATGGGACGTGGCCGAGGAACCGATGGATCATGAAAAATGGCCATCACCCGGCTGCTCGGTGCCCCCCTGCCCATCCTTCATAGTCAAATGATCTGGGCACTGTCTCCTCGGGCAGCGGACGGCGGGCATTCAGGCAGGTCCTTTGGGAGCTCAAGGACCACAGCACTTGGTGTCCACCACCTCCAGCTCTAGAGCCCCGAGGTCAAAGGAAAGGGGGTCGGAGGTCCGGGAGGCAGGGGCTGGCACAGGGTCATTCGGGTTCGGATTAGGGTCCCTACTTCCTGGTCTGGCTCCAGCCCTCTTCTGCTTCTCTGTCCTAGCCATCTCCTCTATGCACTGACTTGTCCTGGGGTCCAGTAAGGCAGAGGGGAACTGACACCAGGGAAGCTGGGGTGGAGAACAGGTGAGAAACGTGCAGCCGGTCCAGGGCTCCAGGCGCTGAAGGCTATGGGGCAAGTTCCTGATCTGACACGCTCCCTCTCGCTTTTCTTCAGCCCAGTTCCAGTCAAGAAACTTGGATTGATGCGTGCTTGTAATCTCTCAGGAGGCTGAGGCAGGAGGACCACCAGGAGTTCAAGACCAGCCTGAGCTACATAATAAGACCCTGTCTCAAACACACCTCCCAACCAAAAAAAAAGAAAGAAAGAAAGAAAGAAAGAAAGAAAGAAAGAAAGAAAGAAAGAAAGAAATGCAGATTGATGGCTTACTATGGATCAGGCCCTCCCCTAGACTCCCTGGATGCATCAGCAAAGTGAAATCAGGATCTTCCAGGGAGGTGGTACGATTGGTCAGTCAATCTTGAGGGGCTTGGAAGGGACAGGGTGTGACTGTCAACAGCATGAGCGGGAAGGCCTCATCGAGAGGGGACTGGAGGAAGGTGAGAGGTGAGCAAAGCCAGGATACCGAGCGTCCACTGGGGCTGAGGCCAGTGTGGAGAGGGGCAGAGCGCAAGCGGGGGCTGCAGAATGATGCAGCATGCTAGGCTCAAGCAGGACTCTGGCTACACCCTGAAACCACCACACAGTGAGCAAGGAGGCAAGGGGCTGTCACATGAGCTCCAGGAAGCGACAGGGGCTCCGACCAGGTGGGGTATAGGTGACCTTGGGTATAGGGCACCTGGAACAAAGGAACAGCTGCTGGTCTGAGTCGAAGGAGCAGACGACAGTGGCCCAGGGTTCTGGCCCAACGTGCAGCCAGTGAAGGTGGACCAGGGTGAGATCAACACAGCCTGTGCATACGGAGAAGACAGCGGGCGAGGGAGCCCGCGGCCCTGGCGGGGTGCAGGGAAACCTCACCGCTTCCAGCCCTGCTCCTCCCGCCCACCCCAGAAGGAACCAGAGGCTGAAGCAGAGGTCTCCGAGTGTCAGGGCCGGCCAGAGTGTTCCTGGGGTGGGGGTGGCGCGTGCGGAGGCTGTTGAGCCTGTTGGGTGGGCCTCAGGAAGCAGCGGGCTAGGACCCTGCTCTCCAGAGCTTTGGCTGTGGTGTACACTGCTCTCCCCAGTGAGGTTGCCACGCACACCCGAAGTGTCCACGTCCAGAACCTCCTGGCACTGTGCTGCGCAGGGTGACTCAGACAGCAACACCCTTCAGCCACGGGAGCCTCGGTGGTGGGAGGAAGACATTTTTAATGGCCCTTGGTGACAGACAGCATCCCTGCCGGCTCTACCAGTTTATACTTGTTGTCCCCACTTTAATTAAATGGCTGTCACTCACACAGTCCCGCTTGCTGCTTCAAAAGCTCAATTAGATGGAGTTTGGGGGAGTCCTGGACAGGGAGTCTGGAGGCCTACATGCTCCTCCTGGCTCTGCCCTTATCTGCAGTGTGACCTCCAGCAAGTCCCTCCCCTCTCAGAGCCTCGATTTCCCCATCTGCAGAGTGAGGGGACGGGTCACAAAGCTGGCTCTGCTGCGGCTGACAACGCCCTCTAGACTCTCAGGTCTTCTCTCCACATCTCCGAGTCTGCCTCAGATGCTGCTCACAGCGTGCCCGCACCCCACTGTCCCATCTGCACCCCACTGTCCCATCTGCACCCCACTGTCCCATCTGCACGCCGCACGAGTCACCATCTTCCAATTTCACCTGCCGCGCCAGCACGGGCTGGAGTGTCCAAACCAAGCCTGGTGACTCCTGCATCCCACGACAGGGCCTGCAGGGAAGCTGGCAGGCAGCAGGGAGAGCCCTGCAGACTCAGCAGGGCCTGGGCTCTGAGCCTGCCTGCCCCCCACTCCTGCTGTGCGACCCCGGCACCTCACGCTGCCTGTGGGAGCCTCAGGGTCCTTCTTGGTGAAAAACAGGCAATGTTCCCTTTTCACCAGGAGCAATGAGAAGTCCAGAGGAAATAGCAGACACCAACGGCCTAACAGAGTCAACCAGCAAGTATTTCCTGTGTACCTACTCTACTCTCTGGCCCGTCTCACGCCCTCCTAGGCCAATGACCATAAAAATCTGATATTGCGGGGTAATCCCAGCACTCAGGAAGCTGAGGCAGGAGGATCACTATGAGTTTGAGACCATCCTGAGCTACATAGAGAGTTCAAGACAAGCCTGGAGATCCTGTCTTCAAAAAACAGAAACAAAAATAGGTGTTCCGTCTGTAGAATGGAACAGCAACAGTCCTCACCTTCCCATCTGTTACGGCTATGTCTAGATGTCCCCCCCAAAGCCTCATGTGGTCACAGGTGGGGCTTTTAGGAGGCGGCTAGATCAAGTGCATGATGCCGGAATCAAGGGTGTGCAACTACTAAATCTGTCCACTAATTGGTTCCCATAGTTCTGGGAGGATTCAAGGTGCCCTACCCTGTGTATGAACACTACCTGCGCTAAGCAAGGGTAGCCTGGAAAAAATACAAGGGACAGAAAGAGAGCCTGCCGTGGGCTGCTTGCAGCCTACTGCTTGCTGCCTTCTGCCTGCCTGCTCTGCGATGCCCTCTGCCATGCCACCCTGCCTTGGAGCCAGCCAACTATGAATGGAAGCCTCTACAAACTGGGAGCCCAATAAACCTCTCCACCTTTAACTTGGAGTGTCGGGTATTTTGTTTCAGCCATGAGAAAAGTAACGAAGACACCATGTGACTGAATTCTAACAAGTGGGTGTGAACAGGACACTTGGTAGCAGCATCTGATGGGCCTCCAGAACCTGATAAACCTGGCTTGGTGCTGATGAGGGGCAGAGGCCTAGGCACCCAGCGTGCTTTCTGCTGCTTCGTCAGGAGAGCTCTTTGACAAGGATCCTCATTTTTTCCGATAAAGAAACTGAAGCACAGGGCTTGGGCAATGTGCTCAAGGCCTTGTACCTGCCTGCGAGCTGGCTGCAATACACCAGAGTCTGTGAACCCCTGAGGCCCATGACCAGGAAGTTTGGAGCGTGGCACCCACAAGTCTTAAAAAGGAGCCCTGCTTGGGCTGGGGACAAACACAGGACCCTGTACCCTTGAGCCTGATGGCTGAGGATGTGTGGGACCAAACCTACCAGGACCCCAGGACTCCCTGGTCCCGGGTCTCAGGCTGAGCGTGTGCAGGAAGCCGTGGGAGTGCGAAAGGCTCGCCATTGTTATCAGGAGGGTTACACTGGGAGCCAAGTCTCAGCCCTGAGCAGTGCCACAAGCAGGAGGCAACCTTCCCTGAGCAGGGCTGGCGGGTGCTGTGACCCTGGTCCACAAAGGGGTGCCCTGCTGCTGCCCCGCCCATGACCCACGCGCCCCGAACCCCAGTCTACACCAGGCTGGGCACTCATCCTTTGTCAGGTGGCCAGCCCGAGTCCTGCCTCGCCTCCCCCCAGACAATGACTTGTTTTCACTACAGCAAATTTTAAAAAGAAAAACACCCACCACACACACACACACACACACACACACACACACACACACACACACACGCACACAGGGCCCAGCAGGATATGGTCCCAGGACAGCCAAGATGGTGGCTTCCTGTCTCTTTCGGGATGTGTTTGGAGGGTGGCCCTGGGGTCGGGGCGGCACTAAATTCCAGGAGAAAATGACACGCTGGGGACAGCGCCTGGGGATTGCGCTGGCGGGCGCCTTAGGCGCTGCCGGCTAAGGGAACTTTCTGGCCCCTGGCGCTGGGGTGAGGGATAGGGTCAGGGGCAGGGCGGTTCCCGAAGCCTCACTTTCTAGGTCGGCTACACTGCACTCCTGAGAGGCCAGTCTGCTCGGCGCACCCCGATTCCAGGAACCGCACCCCAGTTCCCGGAACCACGCTGGCCGGCGAGCGGGATGCACTCCTATAGAGAGGACATGGTGTCCCCTTGGCATCCAAGCTCTGTGCGGGATCCCGGTGTGGGATCGGGGTGTTGGTTCAGGGCGTGCGCGGGGGTACCCTGGGGTTTTTATGCCCACCTGAGCGCTCTGATCTTGGATCGTGAGGTCTGGGAGCGGGAGGGTGGGGAAGGCTCGGGGACCCCAGGATACGGGGTGAGGGTGGGGCGCGCCTGGGACCTCGAGTGTCAGCCCTGGGGATGCCCCACCCGGCAGGTGGGGACCCGGACCGACCATGCAGCCCCTACCTGCGCCGTTCATCTTCCTGCCGCGGCAGCCGCGACCCTGGTAAGCCGGGTCCGAACGAGTCCAGCACCGCCCTCTCGCCCCGCCCCACCCCGAGCGCGAG